TTGTATTTGTTTTTCTCACATTTGCTCCTCTTAATCTTATTAGGAAAGCCTCTAAAGCTATTAAATAGCAACAAAAGTGTTTCTGCAGTAAAAATACATCAATGTTTAACACTCACTCTTAAATACACAAAATCCAGTCAATATTTTTCACTTGAAAATCTCAAAACCTCTGGCCCTCTGGAAGTCTTTTGCCAATTTGCTTTGACTGTTGTTATTTAGGTTTATGACACATGTAATACAAGTTAGATCAGTTTGAGACTGCTTTATGACTTTTGTGTGAAGCGTGTCAAGACCAGGAAAATATTTCAGACTGTGTTTTCACTTCTCACAGTTCCTCACTGCTTTCAAATCCATGCCAAGTTCAGTGTGGGAATGACAAACACTCCTCGTACCCAAGCTCTGAAGGGCCAGCAGCAATATCACAGAGCAGCTCTCCTTTATTTTGCTGTAGACTCTGCTCTTATAATGAACAGGATTCATTTAGAGTAGCACAAAGCTAGTGTTCGCTGTGACCATGTCAACATGGCTAATAAGTCTCCAACAGTTGTCAGCAGCACTGTAAAGAATACAGGAAAGATGAGCAGACTGAGGGAGTTAGACAAAAAGAGACACTTATTACACAGTGGACACCAGTGACATGTGGAGAGGTTCATGAATGGTGAGGAGGTGAATCCCCTGAGAGCGCAAATGTATGAAACCTTCATAAAAGCATACATTTTGGCTTTAACTTAGTCTAAATATTTGTTTTTAACATCATTTTATAAAGTTTTAATCACACAGCAGTCAACACAGCAAGAAGACCAACACATGTTTTCTACTTTGTCTGATCTCTCTTTTTTAAATTAAAACTGTTGTCGCATTAACTAAGTCTTTTAAAACCCTTCACCTTCATGCCTGTGATGTTCAAACTGTAGTGCTCATCAGTTATAAGTCAATCCGTGTAGCAATTTGTTTTTTTGAGTGTCCAACTAAAAACATGTACAGATCTTTAAGCTTTGTTTGTTGGTCTTTTTATCTCGAAAAACCTCTTCATACTATTTAAAATTCATTATAGAAAAATCCTTTCGTTTTGTGAAATAATCTTCCATTTTGTCTAAATAAATGAAAATGAGTGTACAGTGATAACACCCCTACTCTCTGGTGGAGTACCAAGTGTCCCGCCCCTATTAGCCTTTTGTTCTTTTGGGTCTCTGCACTGCCTCCTATCTATATGCACAGTACTTTTTTCCTCGCCCTGTCCATTTTTACTGTGCATTTATGGACGGATTAGAAAAATTAAATATGCCACATACATTCATTAGTTAAAACAGATTGTAAAACATCTGAATGTTTATACATGTGTAAGTCAACATGCACACGGGTGATATATGAAGAGACAGCAATGGAATTGTTTTAAATGGCTGTGTCTCTAGCCGATCTGTCTCGGAAGCACGATCAGTACCATCAGCTCATTTTAGCATGCACAACCAGAAAAACATGGGTCGCCCTTGATTTCAATTTGTGAAAAATTCCTAAATTACTTTTTTCCCTCTTTAAAAATAGTAAGTGTAGAGAACTATAATGTGTTCAAGGATAATAATGTATTTCCTGAGAAAATAAATGCATTAAAATCGTTTCTGTTTTATCACTCATCTGTACCGAAAATGGGATCATATGCTACTTTCTGGACCTAACTTTTTCGCCTTTGGATTTAAAAATAAATCTAGTCTTTTATGGTAAAAATTTTTCCTTTCGCATTTCATTATAGTACATAGTGCATAACCTACAGAAAGAAACAACTAAAATGCAGATAAACATGGTTTATTCATATTTAGCCGGAATACTCTAAACATGTCTGATGATGAAGTCAGACTGTTTAATGGAGAAAATGTAAAAAAAACATTGAATTGTCATAGAACAGTCATAAAAAATGTTTTAAAGATGTGTATTAGCATTATTTAGTGATTTAAGGATAGACTTAAGTACTTTTAGTACCATAATTACATTATTTATGGCAATCTGGATGACTGGTGACTCCAGCTCCCCACATCCGGGGATATAGCTCCTCATCTAGTTAACATGGTTGCACACAACTTTTCAAGGTGCATTGTGGGAAAAATTGAGTCCACCACTTTTTCATCCACTAGACAATCCCAACACTCATTTAAAATAGCGTAACCCCTACATAGTGCTCCATATACGTAAGGGTAAAGGTGGACGTTCAGACACAGCCTATTACATTTACTTCATGGCGATATGCACTGGAGCTGTGGCTGAAATATGATTATATATTTCATGTGTTTACATCTGCCACTGTCATGTGGTTTTCAAACATTGTAGAAGATTTCAAGATTTGTAGAAATGTAGTAAAATGCAATTTTAATTATATTTCTTATTTAATGGAAGCACTGAAATTTAAAACATTTCTATTTTCAAAAGTAGTAGAATATCGACATGGTTTTTCATCACATTAGGAACTGAAACGCAACTACTGTGTGACTATTTTGTAAGCAACAATTGTGGACAGAGTTTAAGTAAAAAAATAGAAGGTTCTGTTTTGGGTTCTGGGATCATCAAGGTTCATTTCACGAGTGCTTGGGAGGAAGAGATGATAAATAGTTTGGTTCTATAAAAGAAGTATTTATGATGATAATTTCGTCTTACTGTAACAGGATAAATCATGGTTCCATGCGAGTTGAATCTATCCACAGAGGTAAGAAGAGAGAGCTGGTTTATAAGTTATTTTCTATGGAGAAGCTGCAGGTGAGGAAGAACTTTGGAGGGTAAACAGGCAGGTGGGTTAGATCTTGGTAGCTGCTGCTTAGGAATACATCCAGCAGGGAAAAAAGCAGAGGCTCCGTAAGGAGAACCAAAGGAAGGAGTCTAATTTTTCAGGAAGTAATGTCTGTAGTAAAGTGTGTCAGGAGTCCTGGAAACATAACAGACTAGGCCTGGGAACAAGAATCATGGAGTCACCAGGAGAAGAGGCTTGATTACCACCATGAGGGGAAGGACAACCTCGTGCCCTTCTTACTGATGATTCTACCTCTTATGCTGCTCCTTAATTAGCGCTGATGATATAATAGGGTGAGCAACCTTACATCACTTGGAGAACTTAAACAACTGTAATGGTTGCGTTCTAAGTTGGCTAATGTGTCTACTTGAGGTTTAAAATGTCTTAATTATAAAAGTCCCGGAAATAAATGTACTATTAATGAATACAGCTGACTGACTACTACTGGAACCTTACTTTATCACTGAGATTATCCTGCCCTTTACTGCCATCCATCAATGACATTTTATCGTAATAAATCCTATCTGTAGGAGGTTAGTGCACTAAAATCAGTAGGTAATTGCAGGGTAATTGATCTGGTCTCACTGCTACTGAATACCAATATAAGTTTGGCACGTCTACAATCTGATGATTTAATTTCTCTATTCAATTTTCACAAGTTATATTTAAAGCTTTTTAAAAGCTTTTCATTGTCCCTCTTTTCTAGTCTTTGTTTTAAGACATTTTTTTGGAAAAAATTCATGACAACAGTCAATGGAATATAATTTACCCTTAACTCTTAACTTCATGAGAATACAAATTGATTCTATTCAAATAAAAAAATAAAGCAAAGTAAAAGGAAAACCACCCACTCCTCCATCGAGGTTATAAATGTCAGTCCTGAAATACATACCCTCTCCAACTTTCTGTCCTCTCCTTGTGGAGATGGTGTTTTAGAAGAAAAGCTTAGCAACAATGTTTACATTATGGCATTACAGCATTTACCTTTACCCTTGTTCTGACCCGCACACAACGGGATGGATGATATAGCCCACAGAGCTTGATAGATATTATTTGCGCCCTCTATTTGTACTAGAGATTTTATTCTCCAAGTTATCAATGCAACATATGAGTTGGGTTAGAATTCTTTTTGCAAAGATGTGAATCTAAATCCACCCTACATTACAAAAATGGCTGTCATTCATACAAATTGTTGTTAAAAAATTTTTTTTCACATAACAAAGCAAACTTTTTTACTTCATTACTGACTCTTATGCCAGTACGTCCATAGTACACAATAGCTAAGGTAGCTTTTGCACGTCTGGCCTCTGTTTTTCTGCCTCTTTCAAACCTTGATGAAGTCAAATTTTAGTGTTTTAGTAGACATAAATGCACAAAAAAAATACATCAGTGTAGACAGGACACACAGCACAGGCTGTGGTGTGTCCAAGCAACCCCATAGTCCCCATAAAGTCAAGGAATATGACTGTAACTGTAGACCATGCACTAATCAACAGTAAATCCTTATTATCACTACTAAATATAATATTTGACTTAATGTTCTTTCTAGGGGTAAAACAACTAATCGGATTAATCCTGAAATTATCGATTATTGAAATAATTGTCAACAAATTTAGTAACCTTTGGCTATCCTTTTATTAAATGATTAGTTGGAAAATTTTATCGACAGATGAATCAATTTGCCAAATAATCATTGGTGGCCGCCATAGTTCTTTAATTATCATCCCCATAAATGTTCCTCACTAATTAGATGGTATAAATATTACTACATATAATAGAAGGAAGCAGCAGTCTTCTTTTGGTTTGTATTTTTCTTGCTCTGCTGTCAGTATATATTTATTCTTGATATTCTTGATATTTCCCTGCAGGAAATGTATCATAAAAGTTATAGGTAGACATTTTGAAAGTCCTTTATGGGTTTGAAAAGACAAGTATTCACCAATTGATGACACATTGGATATGATCAATGGTTAGAGTAATATTTCCTGAATAACAGTATGTGGTCTGCTAAATCAATGGTGGTGCAAAAACCCCTGAAAGAACTTCAGCAAAAAATGATTAAAAAGTTGTTTACTGTTTTAAAATAATTCAGTGTAAAATACTTTTTTTAAACTTTCAACATCGGATATATATATATGGCACTGAAATTATTTGACTTGAATCTGAAGAACATGTAAAGTATAGCATCTGTTAGTCTGTCATAAACCTTTTTCTTTTATTTTTATAGGTCAGCTCAAGCTGTCCGTCTTCAAGAAGCATGAAATCCTTGTTGTCAGTGGTGAGTCATCTTAATGGCTGCCCATATGGAGAGACCCTGCTTTTATTCATCACATTGAAAGCAATGCAGTACAATCTGTTCCCTCTTTGTAGTGTGCACATTTGTTATCTTTTAAATACTATACAAAATAGACTGCAAGAGAAACTTTATTTATATTTCAAACATAATTTGCTGAAGGTAAATATTAAAAAACCTACAGTACTACAGATCACTGTTTAAAGCACAACATGATACCATTAATGATAAAAACCCTGGATGGTGGTTCATTGATTTAACAAGACTGTTTATTTTGGTTTCCCAGCAACCAACACAGCCACCCTTGTCTTTTTGTTAAGGATTCTCTGTCTAACAACTCAGCATTTTTTTTTTCTTTCTCAGATGTAAATGCCTTACCTTCATTATTCTTGTAAATGGAGACACTGTATTTTATATTAGCTAAGGAAAATTATGGAAAAATAGCTTAATATAAAAATATAGGGGAAACTAGTTTGCAAAACTATTAATTATGTTAAATCAAAACTATTTCCTGAATAAAGTGAAGCAATTTTTTCTATACAAAAGTAAAAAAAAAAGCAGAGGCACAATCCTCGCAAAACCTCTTGGTGATCTGGTATCTTGCGATGATAAAAGCGCAGACTATTAAATCAGGTTGCAGCATTCACATCTGTTTTTACATTAAGTTAATATTGAGCCAACCTGAAAGAAAATATTCAGCCAATATATTTTTTTTATGTTTCTGTCCTACAGAACTAATATCCATATAGACTGCTTATTCTCATATTTTCGTAAGGGTGAATAACATGGAACCTATGTGGAATGTAAAGAAGTGTATCATTATTTTTTCCCCCCGACAGTTTTGGAGGCCAGAGACATGCTGAGTGAATGCCAAGGGCCCTGTAACTCCTATGTTAAGGTCTATTTTACATTTTGGAGTAATTTAAAAGCCCAGTTTTATCACTTGCAAGACATTTTTTGAATTTTTGTTTTGCAGATTGGTATGTTTCCCAGCAGTGACCCTGGAGAAAGGCAGAAGACCCTGATGGTCCCTCAATGTAGAAACCCTGTCTATTTGCAGACCTTTCACTTGTAAGCATTCTAGTTTTGGTTAAGAGATAATTTTTCTTAAGCTCGTTGCCTAACTTCACTCAATGATATTCTTGGTGCAGTACCATGAAAAGACTAGTTTTATTTCTAAACACACAGGATGATATATTCATAAGTTTTCTTTATCTTTTAGGATAAATAATTAGCTCCTACCACAAACAGAACACAACAAAGGTATTATGGCTTAGAGTCCTGCACGGGTCGAGTTTTAGCAACCCGCATCCGCCCGAACCCGTTAGGATGACTACCGAACCCGACCCGTCACCCGCGGATATCTTCAATTCAAATCCGAACCCGACCCGACCCATTGATATTTAACCCGCAACCCGACCCGTTAACACATCAAGTAATAGGCTATAGTACGCTGCGCTGCAGAACAGCGCCATTAACACTGCAGCAGACGTGTATGCACTGACTGTGGCCTTTTCGGAGGGAAGCCCACACTGCCGGCAGGGCTTTGAGCTACAACAAGGGTGACCCCAGTGCCTGATTAATATAACATGTCTGATTTCCATAACAACACACACGCATAAAAAAAAAATCACCAACTACCCGCCCGCACTAAAAAAATATCCGCCCGACCCCCGACCTGTTTATTTTTATTTATGTATTTTTCACCCGCAAAAGAGCATTTTAGCGGGTGACCCGTCGGGGACCCGCGGGTACCCGACCCATTGCAGGACTCTATTATGGCTATTACTGTTCAGGATATAACAATCAGCAGTTATACATAAGCAAAGTTCTATTTGAAAGCAGAAACAAGCTCCAGTATAAACCTCAATACATGTTTGGGTGAATGGGGTGCACTAAAACAAACCTGTGTTATGTAGTGTTTAAACAGTATTTTAAAAGTAAATATTCTATCCTTTAAACTCTCTTGACTCTCTAAAAAATGCTTGTATTATGACTGAAAACTGCATGGTTTCTTTTGTGTGTATACAGTGCAATCAGGGAAGGAGACCTTCATAAGAGACTGCTATTTACAGTTTGGAACTCCGACTTAACGTCAAGGTACTTTTTGGACTAGTTAAACATGGTGTAAATGATTGCACAATTTAAAAGTCAGCAACAAATTTACATACTACACAAACAACTCTTAAAATTTGATAGGTCCAAAATATTTTAATATTTACTTTCGTTATGAGGCAAACGTCAACAGAAATGCATTAGACACCAATAGGAATAGTGAGTTGATCCCCACTGTCACTTCACTGAGCTCAGGTGTTACCAGATCAAGCAGCTCTGAGTTAAAGCCAAGAAATGGCTTCAACTCTGTTTTGCATTTCTCAGATTAAAGGTCAAAACATTTGTGTTTTTTTGTATACCTTTTTAGAATTTAACCTGAATGTTGTGTTACTATTGTTTCATTTGTGTAGCTGAGTAAAGTTGGAAAACGGCCTATTGAATGATTGGTTAACTGAGTCATTAAATGTGTGCTGAAAATTTGGAAGCAAACCATTCTGAACACTTTTAAAACATTATAAATACCATAGGTGCATTGTTCACCTGTAAATTTGTGTCAAACGTCTCCCAACCTTTTATGACTGCACTGTGGCACTAGAAGTAATTTGTGTTTCAAGATTTTTTTAGTTGTCTATAAGTGCAGCTTCATGTCGTCAAGCAGTCGCCTGGTGCTGCTGGCCCATCAGTATAAAAATTAACAGCAAGGCTGCTTCATCATTGCTTCCAACTCAGCAACTTAGCCGCTGTATTTGGTGCCTTTTCAGACCCCTCAGCAGACTGTTTTTAAAAAAGAAGCAACAAGTCTAGTGGCTTTTTCCTGTCTTGTTGGAGACTTTAGTGATAACACATGGCCGGTCGCTCTGGTATTACTGTCTTCAGTGAACAGTTAGTGAGCAAGGCCCTCCTACCTTCAAAACACAGGGACTCAGCCACAGCAGCTGCAGCCAGTGTCTGCAGTGAGAACGCAGACTGACTCTCCTGTTTCCACTTTGAACATGAGTCTCACATGCGCCAAGCCTCCACTCATTAATTACAAATCAGAATGTAACTACCGTATTTTCACGACTATAAGGCGCACATAAACATCTTTTTTTTCCCTCAAAATGTGCGGTGCGCCCTTTGGTGCGGTGCGCCCTATGTGTGTTGCAACTGCGACTTTTGAGACCACGTCATTGAGGAGATGATGAAAGAGTGGCTGAGGGAGGTGAATGTAAGGAGACCAGGTGTTTTTTTTCCACTCATCACCATCGCTGTTAATCTGACTCCATGCCTGCCCATCTCACAGCTGTGCTTGCTGTGAACCGGACGCAGCAGGTGCAGCAGAAGCAGCGAGTTTACATGCAAAGTCAACGGTTGACGCGCGTACAGGCGCAGCAAAAGAGCGCCGCCAACGCGCTGCTGCTGCTCGAGATGGAAAAATTGAAGTTTTGCTGCTGGAAGCGCCGAATCAACGAATCAGAGAAGCTGATCTGGGAGCTGGCTGTGAGACGACACATCGCTCTGATGACATATGATATTAAGGCAAATGAAACGGGCTGGATGGATGAGGAGATGATGAAAGCGTGGCTGAGGCAGGTGTATGTGAGGAGACCAGGTGGTTTTTTCCACGCATCACCATCGCTGTTAATCTGTGACTCCATGCGTGCCCATCTCACAGCCGATGTGAAAAACATGGTGAAACAAATAAAAAGTAAGGCTGCGAGCGGCGTGGGAGCGATGGATGACACACGGAGACCACAGTTTCACGAAAAGTGGAAGGCAGCGCCATGCAAGCAAGTTACGCCACCGTTTGCGGATGGATTGTTGATGCTTGGACTAACGTGTCTGCTGACACTGTTGTTCCAGCTTTTGCAAAAGCCGGCATTATTTCTGAGGAGCCGCCCGGCATGGAAAGTGACTCTGACAGCGAAGAAGGGGAAATTGGCATGTCTGATTTAGCGCAGCTGTTTAATTCAGAAACAGAGGATGATGACTTTGATGGGTTTGATTAATACTTTGTAATAAATACATGAATAAAGAACAAACATACTCAGTTTTGCTCCCGCTCTATTTTTCTACCTGAAAACTTAATTCAACAGCAGCCTCTGGGCCGGGTCTCCTCCGGTTTCACCGCGGCGGCTGGCAGGTGTTTTTCATCTAAATAATTTAAACTGCAGGCACCAGGATACCGGTAATAAAAGCGAACATATTCCGTCGGCAGGTTTCAGGATTTTAAGTTAATTTAGGAGTGACCACAGCGCTGTGTCATCTGCGATGTGTCTGTCTCATGGCCAGCTCGCAGGTTTGATTAATACTTTGTAATAAATACATGAATAAAGCACAATCATACTCAGTTTTGCGCCCGCTGTATTTTTAAATACGCAGTAGAAGTATTTAAACGTAGTAGAAGACATGTACCTGTATATAAAAAATGCACCCTATAGTCCGGTGCGCCTTATGTGTGTGTTAAATACAGAAATGGCACACTTAACTGAGACTGCGCCTTTTAGTACGGTGCGCCTTATGGTCGTGAAAATACGGTAATAAAGCGCTCAAAGAGCGCAGACCTCCACCAAGCATCAAATTTTGCCACACATTGTGACCTACACTTATTGCTAAAACTCGCATGTCTAGATCATGATTTTTGGAGTCCAATGCTGAAGCTGCTAATAGTCACTGCAGCCACCCCCTGGTAAATGGGGGCCACTGCTTGTTTCCTCCATAAGTCATTATCTCACATTTCTAGAGAAAAAAAAAAAAAGAAAGAAATTAAATCATGTATCCAGATTATGATCTGGATCATCAAGATAATTTAATGGATTGTTCCTTTGCATAAGTCGCACATGGATAAAAAAATCATTAAAATCTTTCTCATTAAAACTCTCCAAATTATAATTTATTAAGTGTATTTTGCTCCTATAAAGCTATTGCAGTGAATTAGAATATGCCTTGGACATGGTTTCAGCAGCCATAGCAGATACACTCACGGCTTCTCAGGGTAGAGTAACCTGCAGTTTTTTCATTACTTTTTAGACTTAATTTTAGGTGGTAAGTTGTTTTTTTGTTATCATTCAGAATCTGAAGGGTGTTTAAAGGTATTGTGGAGGATTTTTTTTAAAAGACCTGCCCTCTCCACTTAAAAAAACAATGCGTGTGCAAGAGCACGCACAAGCCCATTTCTTCTTGTGCATGCCCTGTTTAAAATGTGCTGTTCTCATAGCTCATACAAGCTTACTGTGTCCACATACAGCAGTGACTATATAGCAGACTTTATAACAAACTCAGTTAACTGACCGTTCGGACAGATGATCACTGCTTTTTACGCCATTGGTCACATAACTCCTCCTCCGTACGATGCCTGCGCCATCTTTGTTCTTAGTCGCCACTGTCAGGTAGCGACAGTCTATGGCTCTTCTACTGCTCTTCTTTTCTTCTCATACAATTCTTAGACACTTTTTTCTCTTACGATCCTCCTCCATTTTCAAAGAGCCACGGTGAGAAAGGTGAGCTTCAATGACTGTCTGAAACTGTAGTTCACCACAGATATGTGGCTGAAAGTGCGCATGCGCAGAAAAAGATAGCTAACAGGACGAGCATGTAGGACAGCCTTATGTAAACATATAACCAGAAAGATTGAGAATTAGGAGGACCACTTATTTAGATGATCCACCTGGAAATAAAAGATTGTCCTCTATACCTTTAATAAGACATATTTCTTTGTTGTTACAACTTGAGAACACACATTTTTTTTTAAACTTTACACTGTACGAAATACTCTATGGATAAAAAAGAACAAATTGTCCTCTTTTCTCTAATTTCGTTTTCTTTTTCGTTAATTTAGTTATGAAAAATACTAGATACTGCATGTCATGACAGGAAAGAGACAAAGGTCTTATACAGCAGCAGTGACTTTCTTAATATCATGGATTGATCTTAAAGATTAGGAGATTTTCTGGGACACAGATTAAGTGTGATTTGTTTCGTTTGGTCATTTTATCAAGTTGATGAAATTCCAAGATCATTTTCTCCAAGAACTTGATCTACTTAGTCATGGGGATTTTACATCCTTAATGTATTTTCTGTTAATTTTGTTTCAGTATTTTTAAACAGCTAGAACTGACATTAATGGAGGCATTGTTTGCAGACTTGGCTCTGTTTTAACAAATTTTCATGCTAAGGCATGTAAGACATTACTTTGCTACGTATGCATTCTCCAGGCAGTGTAAGCGTCCACTACAACAAACCAGGGTAGCATCTGTTCAGTGCAGTCTGCTGCTTCAGCTGAGCAGCACTCTTCTGAACAACACTACAAACAGCTGTGTCTGAGAACAGTCAGTAGTATTTTTTTATAATAAAACAGTTTAGTCCATTGTGATATGTGCAGAATAAATGGTAAAAAGAGCCTCATGCATAGCATTAGAGCTTTAATCCCTGCAATTTTTGCTGTTTAAAGCTTTTGGCAAATCTATGCTACATCTCAGCATTGCCAAGAACTACAACTCTGATTACTGTTGGGCTGACATCACCTGATCTCATCTGTGTAGAAATAACAAGACCCATCTGAATTATGATACAATGTGCTTGTTCAACATGGTCTTTCTTTGCACTACTAATGTTAGAAGCTGTTGGAAGCAATACCTCCTCAGCAAATATGCCTAAACACAACTCAGTTTTTACCAAATAATTATTATAATACATTTTATTTGTAATGCGCTTTACATTTAAAGGAAAATCTCATAATGCTACAATAACAGGGAGTTACAAACATAAAAATTATGGATGTTAAAATGCTGTGTGAAATAGGAAGGTCTTTAGACCCTCTTTAAAGACCTCCACAGTGTGTTGGGCCCTCAGGGACTCTGGGAGGGCATTCCGGTGCTGTGGGGCAACTACCTCAAAGGTCTACAGTATCTCCCATAGTGGAGTGCTTAGTCTATGGTCGTTGGAGGCAATAAGTGGAGGGGGATCTGAGATTTTGGGAAGAGGTGTGTGGGGTGAGGATTTCTCTGAGGTAGGCAGGACAGTTCTATATATGAACTGGTGAAAGAAGAGAAATATCTTGAATTGAATTCTGTGTTGAATGGGTAGCAAGTGGAAGGATTTGGGGACCAGCGTGATATGTATGATCATATTTGTGCCTCCTCATCAGGAACTGGGCAGCACAATTCTAGATATGCTGGAGGTTTTGCAGGCTCTTGCCAGGGATCCAGACAATGAGGATATTACACTAGCCCAACCTAGAGGAGATGAAGGCATGGATCAACTTCTCAGCATCTGACAGGGAGAGGGAGGGGAGGAGTTTGGCAATGTTTTTGAGGTGGAGGAAGGAGACCTTACAGAGGTGGCGGATGTGGTTGTCAAAGGTGAGGTTTGAGTCAAGTCTGACTCTGAGGTTTGTAACAGAGGTAGCCAGGGGAATGTGATGACGAAAAATGGGTATACCACAGAGGGAGAAGGACTTGGTTTGATGTGGGGTACCGTTCAGGATGGCTTCGGTTTTGCTGATATTTAATTGAAGAAAGTTGTTAGACATAACTGTCCATACCTTTATCTCCTCCAGGCAAACCTGTAGTGCAGATGGCATAGCTGTGGAGACTCCATTTTTATGTGTAATTGTGTATCATCTGGGTAACAGTGGAATGAAACTTTGCATTTATGAATATAACCAAGTAAGTGGAAAGTAAAATACTTGGACTGAAATGACCAGTTGTGGCACAACACAGCTAACTGTGTTGGGTGATGATTTGAACCATCCTAAAGCCACATACTCCATACTGCATGTGAGGAGTTACTGGAAGCAGCTTAGAGTCATCCCAGAGAGTCTTACCAAAGACCTGACATGGTGGAGTGAGATGGTGTGATCCATAGTGTCAAATGCGGCTGACAAGTCCAGAAGAGGACAAGAGATGGTGAGCCTTGCAGTCATAAGTAGGCAATTAATGACGTGGCAAGGGCTGTCTCCATGCTTTGTGCTACTTGAAAACCACACTGAAATTTGTTGTATATATTATGAGTGTGAAGGTGATAGTGGAGTTCGGCTGCGACAACCTTTTCCAGGACTTTAGATAGAAATGGCTGTTTTGAAATGGGTCTGTAATGATCCATGATTCCAGGTTCAAGTGTAGGGCAGATAATTGCAGTTTTGAGAGCTTAAGCATCCCGACAAGATTTGATTGACTGGTTGAGGATTGCTATGATCAGTGGACCGATGGCTGCAATATTAGATTTTAGAAGTGATCTGGGGGTTTGTGATCTTAATTTTGGAGGAAGGCGAAACTGTGGCTGGACTTGATTGAAGCCACCTTGTTAGAGAAAAAGTTCATGAACCAGTTGCACTGATCTGTACTAGTGTCAACATGTACATATGTGGGAGGATTTAGAAGAGAATTTATTAATGTGAACAACTGTTTTGAGTTTTCAGTGCATTTTGAGATTTTTTTTAGAAAAATTTTGGCACCTGGTTGTGGTGAGCACTTTGGAGTATGATTTTTGGTGATCACGGTAGGCCTGTTTATGTACGTGTAAGCCACTGGAAGGTAATTTCCACTCGAGAGCACAGCCAGCCATTTTTATGCTCCTGAACTCTATTGTGTACCAAGGGGCTGACTTAGAAAAAATAACTATAAAGGCATGAATTATGCTGTTCAACAGAGCCATTAACTGATACAGACTGTGTGACTAGTGAGATTTGGTGTAAATCTTGGTAGTGGAAAGCTGAGTCTATTGATTTTAGACTTTTAGACTTTAGATTGAGGATGGGTTCTAGAGGGAGACGAGCTGATGAAGGAGCCTCCAGATTTGTCGTATATAGGTAGTCTATATGAACGTTGTGGTTGATAGTTAGGCATGCATTCCATTGTGCAAATGAGACATGATGGCTCGGGATGTCACCGTAGTAAATACACACCACACCTGGGCTCTAATGGTTCCATCCTGCTGACTTCCCGCCTGTCCTGGGCACGACTGGTAATGCATTGCTCCCAAGAAGAACACAAGGATTGTGTTGAGATTGTTATAATGATTTCTTTGCAGGCCCAGCTAGCTGAGGTGGAAGCCTGCCAGCTTGGTGCCAGTCAAACACGGCTTATCCTTTTCATTGATGTTTTCTGTGATCTATTAACACAGCAACAACATCGAACAGATATTTTGTTAGAAATCATTTCTGGTTTCAGACTCTAAAAACAGTGGGACTATAATGAACAACAATGTGATTTTTGTAATAGTTTAAATAAAGAAAAAAGTTGTTGTTGTTCAGAAGTAAGTAGTCCATTTACACGTTTATTATTGTGGATATAGCGTAAAGTAGTAAATTAAAGCAGTGTTGACATGATCTCCTGGGCATCTCAACTCTCCCTTCAGCAACGACTTGGTGATGGAAACGTGTTCACTTTGTTTGCAAAACTTGGTCAGTTTTTCAAGAGCCACACTGAACAAACTTTTAAAGTAAATAATCCCCAACTAAAGTGCTGGCCAGCAGTGTAATGCAAATGAAGGAGTCCTATTTTGGCTGGTAGATTTCAGTGTGAAAAATTACACACTGCATTAGCCCATTGATTGCCATTCTATTCTGTGGGTAGGAACACCAAGCAGATAGGGCTTGATATTATGAAATTATTTAAAATCAAAAATGATCATTAGACCTTATCTACTTTTAACATTTTGTCCCACACAGCGGGGGGATTTTCTTGACAGATAACAAAAAGTAATGCGTAATTCAAGCGAAGTAGAAGAAACGTTTTAAACTTATTTATGAACAAAAAATTGTAAGGTGTATACCTTAACCTGAGCTGTACCACCAGGTGTCTTCAAAAGTGTCAAAAGCTTATAGTGGCTTATGTCCGCCTTTGTGCAAAGTAGTATTAGTTCACATAAATACAGATTTCTGGGAGGTACTTATAGAATCGATGGGGAACTTTAATGAAGGATCAGTATCATGAAGAACATGACAGTTATCAGAGAAGACAAAAAAGATTTAAAGTAGGGTTAGCTCATTAAAGGGTTAGCTTGGAATGTCTTAGGAAGCACTGTTTGGTCCTCCTGAAAAGGAAAAGATTATTGTAAAACTACTAACCAAGCAAGAAACATAATAACAGAGTTAAATCTGGAGGACTTACAGAGATCCACAAACAAGACAGCTATTAGTAATGCTCTCCACAAATCTGACCTTCATGGAATGGTGGCAAAAAGGAATAATTTACAGAAATAAGAAATCAGGTTTGAGACATGTACCCATAGTTCACATTAGTTCTATAAAGTTTTAACACTGAGGAGCTGAATCCAAATATATGCCAAGCTTCCCAGGAAATGGAGATGATGGATAGTAGGTAAAACATTTCTGCGCTTGTTGTTGTTACCACAGATAAGATACAAACCAAACAATAATGAGAATGGAAATCCTATTTACCTTATTTGACAGTTTCTCCATATTTAAAAAAAGGTTGCATTTAGTTAACCTTAACTTCACTTCATTTTATACACACATAAATAGTATAAATAAAAGCACATATTTCATATCAGATATATTTTTATTAGAATATAGCTTCAACCACTCAAAGAAGTCCAGCAAAACTACTAATGTAGATTTGAGGAGACAGTCATCTACACAATTGGAGTAAAATAAATCCTGGGAAGTGTAGTAATCAAATGGGCTCATGGAAACATGGCATACAGCTATGCTGCATCAATTAAATAGCACATTTTATGAGAAGACGAAAAGTATGATGAATTAATATTTTAAGACACCTGTCTGCCATAGAAGATACAATCAAACAATATGATGGATATTACTTTAGATAAATACAGCAGTAAACATGCTTTAAAGGTTCTATCATTGTAAAATGTTTATGTTTATTATTATGGTAATCAATAAAATGTATGTGCTAAAAGACTGTTATTAATGCTTGGTATTCAGACCAAATGTGTGTTTAATGTTACTTAAGGAAAGCAGCTCTCACTGAAACCAGTAGGATCTTACCAGGGTTGTTTTCCAATGGTGATACTTTTTGTTGCCACTAAGTAATTCTACTCTTATGCAGTTTAGGTGTTCATCTGCAAAACAGTGTCAGCAGTCTCAGCAGCTGCACAACACATTTCCAGCTGTGAGCTTGTCGAGATATATTTTTCTTATGTTTGCATAACTGAATTCATATCTGAGTCTCGACGCAGCTGCCTAGACTACAATAATGCAGTTATAGTTAATTTGCTCCTCATTTGTTGTTATTCAGATATATTTCAACTCTGTTTGTTCTCAACTTTTTATTTTTTGTTTTACGTCCATTTATTTGACATTTATTAGTCTGAAACCATTATAAGTTATGTTATAAATGAGATTGATGCAATATTTGACATTCGGAATAGATGTACAAGAAAAGAGCACTTTAATTATTGAAAATATACATTTGATTGGTTTGATATTTGTTTACTTCATATTTGACCCCAGGTGGATTAAACTGTATCTGAAATGTCTGACCTGGGTTGGTGGAGCCTCTTGGCTCAGGGGTATTAATTGATTTTCATTCTGCTGATTCATTCTCTCTGATGTCTCAACATCAACAGAATGAGCGTTCTTCTCGGTTGCATGAGCTTCGGCCTGCGTTCCCTCATGGATGCACACAAGGTAAGCTTGAACACAGAAATTTCAGCTCCAAAGCCATTCTGAGTTTTTTTTTTCAACTGCGTGCAATCCTGTCCCCCTGTTGTGTGTCTCATCCATCAGACCATGAATTTAAGAGTTTAATTCAGTGCGAATGAATTCCAGTGACCTCAATAGTTATGAGGAAACACTTTTGGGTTAACAGTGTCACAGCACTGCACTGTTGCCTCTAGACACTGGAATGGGAACTCAGTTTGACTCACTGAGTCTTTCTGCTTTACAGCTAAAGTTCACACACATTTTAGGCCACATATTACATTGTTTCAGGGTATAAGGTATATTATTTAGCTTATTTTTCTGTCGCCAGTTAAATAAATGTTTTATACTAACGATCACTGATAAGGGAATATTTTGCATGACCATAAAATGAAGCTTTTTAGCTTTGTGACAACAAGATTCCCTCTTCCACAGCTCATTCCTATTTAATGCAGAAAATTTTCAAAACACAATCTTTTCCATATTTTACTCGTTTTTCTTCTCACCTCAGAAGCTCAATTACCTGCTCATACACTAAAATAATCTAACTCAATAATTTATCTCTCTATGTATCTTTTTAAGTAAATAGATCTAGTTTATTGTCAGTTTGTTTTTATCATAAAGATCGATTCAAAGCCATTACATATGTT